GAAATCATTTCAAGTGATCTATCGTATACCTCCATCGTTTCCCAACGGAGTTCGCTCCCGTCTACTTCATATAGCAGAAGCCATAGGAATTCGTACATTCCATCCCAATTTATGTGTACAGAAGAAATTCGTAACCCCCCTATCCCTTCCATGGCCGGACATAACTTAATAAATGACATTATTATTATTTGTAAAAATTTTATTTTGGTTATCATTTTTTTGTTTGTAATTTTCTACCTCTTTACGTTTGTATTATTCACTATCTATCTATTTAATTACATACTTCTTATTACGTAATGATTTTAATGTTTTGTGATTACTATTCCAGTCTATTTACCCACGTTTGACCTCTTAATTCTTATATTTAATTAGAAGGGGATTTCTGGAGATTTCAGTATATTTCAAAGTTGAAATCATGAGTCAATTGAAGCTAGACCACCATTGAAAACCTGGAAGCACTGGACGGCCGTTTCGTCCTATTATGGGACTCCTCAGCAGTGCGCATCCACGAACCCGCTCTCGCGAGCGAGATTCGAACCCAGGACCTACCTGTTAAGGGCTCTGGCTCGTAACTGGTAGGTCCTGGGTTCGAATCTCGCTCGCGAGAGCGGGTTCGTGGATGCGCACTGCTGAGGAGTCCCATAATAGGACGAAACGGCCGTCCAGTGCTTCCAGGTTTTCAATGGTGGTCTAGCTTCAATTGACTCATGATTTCAACTTTGAAATTATATTTAATTATTGATAAGACTTTTGTTAACGTAATTTACTATTCTTACTACTATCAGTACACCTGTCTTCCCACTATCAACTTGTACTTTTAACTATTATTAGGCTTGGTAACGTATTCTATTTCTTTGTGATTATTATTGACTCAAATAGCCTTGTGATTGGTCTAACATTTTCATATAAATATTCATGTATTAGAGTAATGGGAATAGCGACCCCATACCGTAGAATATCAACTCGCTAAAAAAAAACGCTAACCAGAAAAAATAATTCAAACCATTTAAACTCTGCCCTGGCACTTGAAGGAATAATTATGACGTCTCATGATGAAAGCCGAAATTCTTCGGAAGTCACGAGACCGATGCACCTTCTAACAACCAGAGCAACACTCTTTATAGGTACATGGAAGCAAGGGATCACAATGAACGTTATCCAATGTTATGCACCCACCAATGATAGCAACGACGATGATAAAGACCAGTTCTATGAAAGGCTGCAATCAATTATAGAGAAGTGCTCACGAAAGGACCTCACCATCCTGATGGGAGATCTAAATGCTAAAGTTGGAGTGGACAACACAGGATATGAAGATATAATCGGACGACATGGATTAGGAGAAAGAAATGAAAATGGGGAGAGACTTGCAAACCTATGTGCTTTCAACAAATTGGTTATAGGCGGCACAATATTCCCACACAAACGCATACACAAAGCTACAAGGATCTCACCGGACCACACCACAGAGAACCAGATAGATCACATCTGTATCAACAAAAAATTCCGAAGATCAATGAAAGGTGTGAGAACTCGGAGAGGAGCTGACATAGCTTCAGATCACCACCTGGTTGTGACCAAGATGAGACTGAAGCTAAAGAAACAATGGACAACTGGACAAACAGCACTACAAAGGTTCAATACAGCCTTCCTTCGAGATACTGACAAGCTCCATGAATTCAAGATAACTCTCAACAACAGGTTTCAAGCTCTACAGGATTTACTGAAAGAACAAGAAACTACTTTGGAGGACAACTGGAAAGGGATAAAAGAAGCACTAACTTCAACGTGTCAGCAGGTTCTTGGTCCTAAGAAGCATCATCACAAGGAATGGATCTCTATGGGAACCCTGGACAAAATTCAAGAAAGGAAGAACAAAAAACTAGCAATTAACAACAGCCGAACACGAGCAGAGAAAGTCTAAGCACAAGCAGACTACTCAGAAGCAAACAGGGAAGTGAAGAAAAGCATTAAAGCCGACAAGCAGAAATACATGGGAGAACTAGCAACGGCGGCGGAAAAAGCTGCAAGAGAAGGGAATATGTAACAACTATATGATACAACGAAGAAATTGGCAGGGAGATATAGCAAACCAGAGAGACCAGTCAAGGACAAAGAAAGAAAGACAATCACGGATATTGAAGAACAGAGGAAAAGATGGGCAGAATACTTCGAGGAACTGCTGAATAGACCAGCCCCATTGAATCCACCGAACATCGAGACAGCCCACACTGACCTTCCAATAGATGTCACTCCACCAACGATCGAAGAAGTCAAGATGGCCATCAGACAAATCAAAAGTGGGAAGGCGGCAGGACCCGACAATATACCAGCAGAAGCACTGAAGTCAGACATTGAAATAACTGCAAACATGCTTCACCTTCTATTCAAGAAGATTTGGGAAGAGGAACAAGTGCCAACGGACTGGAAAGAAGGATATCTCATCAAGATACCAAAGAAAGGAGATCTGAGCAAATGTGAGAACTACAGAGGTATCAGTTTGTTATCAGTACCAGGAAAAGTTTTCAACAGAGTGCTGCTGAATCGGATGAAAGACGCAGTAGACGCCGAACTTAGGGATCATCAGGCTGGATTCCGTAAGGATCGGTCGTGCACAGACCAGATTGCGACACTACGGATCATCGTTGAACAATTAGTTGAGTGGAACGCATCTACTCTCCCCATTCCTCTTCCTTCTAGTGATTGACTGGATTATGAAGAATTCGACATCTGAAGGGAAATACGGAATACAATGGACTTCTCAGAATCAATTAGATGATTTGGACTTCACAGATGACCTAGCCCTCCTCTCTCATACATACGACCAAATGCAGATGAAGACAGCAAATGTAGCAGCAGCCTCCTCATCGATAGGCCTCCACATTCACAAAGGAAAAAGCAAGATTCTCAAATGCAACACGGAGAACACCAACCCAATCACACTTGATGGCGAAACTCTGGAAGAGGTGGAAACATTCAAGTACCTGGGGAGCATCGTTGATAAACAAGGAGGATGGGATGCAGATGTAAAGGCGAGGATTGGCAAAGCAAGGGCAGCATTTCTACAATTGAAGAACATATGGAACTCAAAACAACTCTCAACCAATTTCAAGGTCAGAATCTTTAATACGAACGTCAAGACAGTCCTACTGTATGGAGCTGAAACGTGGAGAACTACTACGGCCATTATCAGGAAGGTACAAGTATCTATAAACAGTTGTCTACGCAAAATACTCAACATCCACTGGCCGGATACTATCAGCAACAGCGTTTTATGGGAGAGGACAAACCAGCTTCCAGCTGAAGAGGAAATTAGGAAAAGACGTTGGAAGTGGATCGGACATACATTAAGGAAATCACCAATGTGCATCACGACTCAATCCCTAACTTGGAATCCTGAAGGGAAGCGGAAAAGAGGAAGGCCAAAGAACACACTACGCCGGGAAATAGAAGCCGATATGAAAAGGCTGAATAGTAACTGGAAAGGAAGGCCCAGGACAGAGTTGGATGGAGAATGCTGGTGAGTGGCCTATGCTCCTCTACAAGGGGTTACAGGCGTAAGTAAGTAAGTAAGTATTTGCGAACCTGTGTTGGTAGTCTACAAGGTCTAGGTTTCGTACCAGTTTACAATCACCACCCAGGTGTACCTGTAAACTTTGGTGAAGTGATGCCTAATGTGGAATTTCCACCCGCGTCACCCAACTTCTTGAACTTGTAACGTTGGAAATCCTGTAGTGGGATTGTGATTTAGCGATTAAAGCACATAATATTTAACTAATGAGTTACATATTTAAAGCTCATTTCATTTATTTTGATTTCACCAACCATGTAGAGTATTATTCACTGGTTTGCATAATTCAATCATGCAATTTAACACCAGTAAGAAAAATATTGACAACTTTTCTTACCGAATAAACCACGATCACAGTCAATTGAACAATAATCAGTAGGCTCGATCAATAAGCTAGAGGACATATTTATTTAACAACGCAAATAAGTTACTCGAATAGTAGTACGTGGGATCAGCTTTGAACCGGTAATGAAATAGAAGGAAATCAAGTCCCCAAACTTGAGTCACAACTTCAGTACTTAGCTTTCGTGATAAACCTTTTAAGTGACATTACAGAAATAATTAACGAATACTACGGGCAGAATGCACCCTGCACTTATGTACATCGGTACAGGAAGATGAAGTTATCAGGCCAAGTCCCAGAATAGTTGAGGTAGTAGGAAAGATTAGGCATTCAAGATACGACTCAAAAAGAAAATATAAATTAGTAAAATAAACGCAAAAAAAAGTTATGGAGAATTCAGGATCTCAGAATTTGGAGGAAGACAAAAAATGTGTGCACTTGTGCCATTCCGAACGATTTAGAGTCATGTCATTGGAAGTCTCTAACCACTACTTACGATAATCACATGGACCCCAACCAGATAGTCTAGAAGTATTAACATGTCTCACTTCAATTATCAGTGACTTTATGAACTGATACTGTGTTTTGGTTCGACCGCTACATTTTACATCCATAAAGAAGAACGAAGCAAACTGTAGCGCAGTAGACTCACCCTTTGATTAGAAGACAAATATCTCACCTACGCCATAGGTAACGTAAGTTGGTAAAAGCCGATCGAGCCTTCTGAATCCGTGCCGTGTGATAAGTCTTTTCAAATTATAAAAACTATAAAAACTACAGACTTAAAAAAACAGCACCTAGAATAAAGCATTACAACAGGTCTGAACGAATCAGATAGGTGTTGGTGCCAATTCAATTTACAAAAATCAGTTCTGGAAGTTTATATGTATCGAAAACATCCCACATTAGCTATCCTTCATGACCTGGAAAAGTGATTCTCTCCTTCAAACTAAGGACAAACAGCATATCATGACACTGAAAATTATCAAGTCGAATCTACTAATCTTAACATTTTACTAACAAAATACCATAAACTAGGAATTACATATAACGTTATAGAAATAAGGTATACACATAAACACATACCAAGTAAGGGTGAATATGCTTCAGCACATTTCACTTCCGTGTTCTCATGAAGTAGTACTTCCGATAACTGTGAAGCCAAAGTTGGTAAACTTGAATTTCCCTCAGCTGGCCATAACAAATATATACGATGAGGAAGAAGTTCTGAGGATAAAGGTTCCTGAAAGGATATATACATACATACATGAACACAGATATGATAAACAGGGACGACTATTTCAGTATTATCATTATTATCACTAATCAAAGTTCATTGTTTACTTAATTACTTTTGAAATTAACACGTAAGTAAATAAACAACTATTACAGTTTTCAATTAATTTCTCATATGGTCAAATTAAGGAACTTGATTACGTTAATCAGAACTCAAGATCAACTGCATTCGTTAACTCAAAGTTATTGTACACGTGCTGTGATATAATATGTCACCGAAGACAGTATTAGGATAGAATATTCAAGTTTTTTCAAAACTTAGTACCGAGATATAAACTATTGTATGAAATGGTAACTAAATGTCACAAAACGGTTTACATGTATTGCTGATAAATAACCCTCTTAACATTAAGATATTTCTCCTACTGGTTTTTATTTTATGTAAGTCTCATTGAAGAATCAATGACTCTTGGATGACTTTGTTCATTCAACTAATTATTAATGTATCTGATTTTCAACTATGAGACACTTCCATGTAATAATGAATAAATATTTACTATATATAAATTGTTGAATAATTACATCTTATGTAAGGACTACATGTGAACCAACTATTTTAATAATGAGAGTATATAGCATCCAAAAACAATCCAGAAAAAAAAATCAAAATCCTGTATATAGTTAGACCTCTAAAAACCAAAGGATTTGCACATAGATCGGTATAGGACATAAAAAAACAATGGTAATGATGCAAAACTTCCATGTGCTGAGCTATGGGTTTGATGTTTTGCGCAAAACTACGGCACTTGGAACATTCTTTAGGCGATAAACTACTTGCATTGAAACTTCCTATGTGATAATATTATTCCGTATGTTCGTTGTTTAGCAAGTCAGATTATATTTGATTGAAATTGAAAATATCTATATAAAATGTGAGTATGGTCTTTGCATGAAGACTACGGACCAAGGGTTTCTAATTTCTTAGTTAAACCACCATTGAAAACTAGGAAGCACTGGACAGTTGTTTTATTCTAGCATGATACTCAGAGGTGAGCTTCCACGACCCTGACACAGAGAACGAAGTCCGTGACCTTTGGTCTCGTAAGCTAACGCTCATCGACTTTTCATGAAATAATAAACATAATACAAACTGTATGATATATTGATTACCAACAAGGCCTAAATAAACCGTTGGTCCATTGGTTTTAATCTGCGACTGCTTCTATTGAAGATGGTGGCCTGCCTAAAGATAAAGTAATTGAATGCCCGTACCTCCAGTGACAGAAAGCCTAGCTCTCTCTATCCGTCATGAGAGAATAATAATGGAAATCCTGGTTTACCAAGAGAAATATCTTACTGACATCACGCTCAAATGTAGATAGTAGTTTAAGTTCGCACCCGGCTTTCAACCGGCAAGTCCCATGTTCAAACTCTCATCACCACCCCTTCCGTTTCAGCAATCAGGTAGTACCACAACTGCTCACACGCATATACAAATAATATACGTCAAGGCTAAGTGTATAAAAGTTTTAATTCGATAAATGAGATTGATAATCAACTTTGAAAATCAACCTTAAAACAGTCTCGTTCATAAACTTAGCTAGTTTACTACAATTAAAGGAAGAAAATACTTGGAAAAAAAAGCTCAGAAAAATTTATCACAAAACACTTACATCAAAAAATATTGGCCGAAAAGATTTAACAATATTAGCGTATGTATGCTTATCTTTATTAGCTATAAATAATATTTTTTTTAGAAATTTCAGTTATCACAATAATGAAACATAACACATACATGGAGTTTCTTTAATGCTATTCAAATGTGTTTTGGAATTGATTCCAACTGACAGAACATTCAAAGCTGAACCTAATGAAGCTCCGAATGATGTAGACAAAACTTCATTAGGTAAGTTCAATATATACGATGGAATATGTTGTCCAGTTAAATGAAATATAAAATGTTCACTGAAACTATTACAGTTATGCTTAAAAAGCGAGTAATCTCCTGGTCTGAAAAAAACGGATGAAGTGATAATAACAATATCCTTTTGAAAATTCAAAATCAATTTACTGATACGACACACATATTAATAACATGAACTGAAGCCAGGATGGATATCAATTCAGTACTCGAAAGTTTAGACGCCCCCGACCCCATGCAATGTTTAAAGGTTCTGGATTCGATCTCTTGTTGACTCGCCCCCAAATGCCCTGATACGGCCGAGAGTGGGGAGAGTCATCTCTCCCTCTCGAAATGCTCTCATATGGCCAGCGAATATATAGCCTCTGCCAAGGAAGTCCTACTCACCGCCTTCTCGTGGCGGGGGTGTTGTTTACGAAAGTGAGAGGACGAAAAGCGAATGTCTGGCGCTTTAACCGGGTTGGTGGACATGGAAAGTTCACCTAGGGCAGTTGGAAAACCCTGATTCCAAACCAGTGGTGCACATGGGCTCCAGGATCCTGAGGGAACAAATGGCGTACGAATCAACCGTTGATCACCGGCTACCATGGGACTGCATCTCCTCACGATGCTCCACTGCCTTGTGGATCAGACATTAAGGTCAAAAGGCTCGGGGTGTGGCCCCCTAAGAAAACCACCTACTCCAGTCTGGGCAGTATCTCAGCCCTCCCACAAATTGAATGAAACTTGTGCGGCGCATATTTATCTGGTGCTTCCTTGTACCAATATTTATGTGTTTAAATAAATAAATAAATAAAAATCTTGTTGACTCATGGACGAATATTTTGGAGGAAACCCTCTGTTATAAATTACGACTAATCCTAAAGTAACTAATTACGGCCTCGTTAATACGGTTATTGATAGATAACACCGAAAATAATCGCTATAGCGATGGGGTGCAGAGAGAAGACAGAAGAACAGGATAAGCTTGATATTCCAGGAGTAAAATTCGAAGTGAGACAACTCCGCATGTATAACAACAAAATACGACCTTAGGATATAAGAAACCTAGCAAACTAGACGGAAAAAAAACAATTGTTCGACGGAAAAGGTCAATGCGGAAATCTGAATGCCAAAAATATTATCAAGGCTATCCTTTAGAGAAAGAACCAATATTTAATGGTAGAAGCTAGATAACCTGTGGTCGCCATAGCACCGACACTGTGATGAAACAGCTGTCCAAAGCTTCCTGGTCTTTAGAGATTGTCTAACCGAAGTTAGTTAGTGATAAGAAACTTCAAATCCAACAATCACTACAGTACCCTGTGATAATATCACGAATAACCCGACTAACGCTATGTTTTTGTTTGTTGTATAAATAAAACAAGTTTGTTCACTCAGTTACTATGTTCGTTTCACATAATTGATAGATCATGATAATTCCAACTTTCCCAAAGTTCTAATTAGAACAATAGAATATCAGATAACTGGTCATGAGTAAACTTTGTTCTTCCAATTCAGAAATCATATGACTGTACAAAAAAATATCATATTATAATGTACCGAAATTCACAAATCTCAATCTGCGCATCAGCTCGCTTTGTACAACTCTATTACTTTACAGCTGTGAAGCATGACCAGTAAGGGTAGAGGATAATCGTGAGTTATTAGTATGTGATCACAGATGTCTTAGAAATATTGCCAGCATCTGTTGGGATCACCGGATGAGTAATAGTAGGGTTAGACGCAGGGTATTAGGGAATGACGGTTAATCAGTTGATAAGGCTGTAAATCTTCATCGACTGAGATGGTTTGACCACGTATTACTCACACCCGACCACTGATTACCACTGTTTGTGATGCTGACTAGTGTTGGAGACGGATGGAAGAAAGTTGTATCTCCTCATTTCGTCAGCTACTTGACTGGTTCTCTCGGTCTCCCACATTGTTCGGACGTTCCATGTACCTATAGAAATTGTTGCTCTGGTTGTTAGAAGAGGCATCGGCCTCGCGACTTCCGAAGAATCTCACCTTTTATCATGAGGCATCATAATTCTCCTTTCAACTCCCAGGGCAGAGTTTAAATGGCTTGAATTGTTTATTCTGGTTACCCTTTTGTTTAGCAAGGCTGTTTTCTACAGAATGGGGTTGTCGACCCCATGCCCAACCCTCCTTTACTCGGACTTGGGACCGGAAGTAGCCCTAGAACAGCTACAGGCGAAGTTGTTCAGGATACTGATGAATAATAAAAACGGGAACCAAATAATCAAATTACAAGTATTTTCATGATTGACCACGTGACTTACTTGAACAGTGTGTTGGATAGTCGTTCTAAATAATTGAAAATTTCAGATTCTGACAATGCTGTCTTCCCCATGAATTGCTTTTTCAATGGATTTCCTAAAGAGGTTGTGCACTTGAAGAAAGATTGAGAAAAACGAACTGACAGCAAAAGACGATGATGTCGTTATCGGGAAAACATATTCAAAGGGAATTACGCGAGTAAAAAATACGTTAGCAGGTTCAACCTAAAATGAATCACTTCAGTAAGTTAAAACAGAGAATGATCTAAACATGTTGATCGGTCCCATCCCAACTAATCAATGTTGATGAATGATTTTTCCAAATCCTCAGTTTACCACTCAACTTCTATAGAATTATTGGTTAAAGTTTTTTCCAACCAGTTCTGGAGATTGTCTGTTTGGTTAAAATTATTCTTCTTTACAACTAATTTAATTTACGTCCACTGATGGACGAGCATATGCAGAGTGAAAAAAATACAAACCGACTAAATTTATTGCTTTAACAACAGGTATGGACACTCAGATATAATTGATTGAGACATTGACTCACTAATTAAACAGCCAATCTTTAGGTTGAGATCCAAATTTTGTATCAACTGACACCCGATACAGTTGTTATAACTAACTTTGAATTTACTTACGATACTTAATACCGGCTTATTTAGAACGTGCGGTCTAAACTCAGGAAGACTATATTCGGAATTTTTTATTTAACCACATATATATTGGTACAAAGGGCATCGAATACATATGCGCCATACATATTCGGAATTGAACCCAATAAAATTATGCCAAATAAGCTGGTTTGCAATTTTTGTTTCCTGAAGTGACTGAAAGATTAGATGAAAACAACGGATTTAAACTGGTCATCTATCAGAGAGATGCAACTTGAATTATGTGGACTCTTGGTTAGGGATAACGATTGGTGCTATAGGTAACAGAATCAGTTTTATCTGATCACCGCAGTAATAATAAGCGGTACACAGGTGAGTTGACGAAACAAAATGTTTGGGAATCACTACACATCTCTCCCAAAAATGATTGATCGAAGTAATTTTGCTAGAACATGGTCAACATAATGTGGAATTTCGACTGTCATAAGGTTGTATACCGACGGATGAGATGTTCAGGGGTTTTACCGTTGGTCAAATTTATTATTGAATGTTACCTTGAACAAATTACTTATTTTTATACAAAAGAACGGCAAACAATATCTCAATGCACAAATACATGTGTAAGGAAAATATATCAATGTAGAATTTCAAGGTGTATCATTCCAACCTTCGATTGTTTGGAACGATACAAAAAGATCACAATGAACATGGACTTGAGCGAAGAGAATACAAACTAAACCTATTCCCATCGTCATATCGAAGAACTAGAGGTGACTTGATTAGTTTTCATATTACTTAGTGATAAATATGCACCTGGTATGGCCTTATTTTTCTTCTAAAACAGGAAATTTATGAGGACAATCCAAAAAAGTTCACAAGCTCATGAAAAATTACTTGTCAGCTGACTACCGACTTTCCCATCGAATCATCAACGAGTGGAATTCATTACCCCAGGACGTGGTTGAGGCTCCATTCTTCAACTCTTTCAACAGAAATTTGGATCAACTGAGAGACCATCACTGCCAGAACTAACACAGGCCATCAAGCCTCCTGTCCTTTACATATTGAAACAGACTGGAGGACAAATTAGCTGTTTAAAAGTAGTTATTTTAGTGGGAGTAAACTATATAGCAAAATAATGAGACTGAATTTATTTTTTGTGGATAAACGCCTATTAAAACCCGTCTCTGCATCACTTTACTCCCTTACATGAGTAGCATATGGATGTCAGTTGTTAGATTCCTGATATAAATAATGTACGCTTACAGCCGACCGGCCTTTTCTGAATTCTTCATAAAACCAGCATTTGAACATCACAGCCTGTACCTAGTGAACAAACGATTTTAATCAACACGTCCGAAGTTATGCACACTGTTCTTGATTATTTGACTTTAGTGTTGATATCGCTATTCTGATTTGTAGATAAATAACATTTAATGTTATTTCTTTAAAGAGATTGTTAAATTCACTGAATGAACATAAACACGTTTCAGACGAAAAACTCACTGGCTGACAATACTGAATTCCTGATTGTCCAAAGAAAAATTCCTTATCATATAAAACGGCAGCAGTATGCCATATTCCATCAATTTTTTTGCCTTAATTCGGAGTAATATTGAGAAATTGTTTAGCATACCCAAGACACCAGGACTTAAAATACTAGCTAGGCCACTCGAAAGATCATAAATGTACAGGAAAACATCTGACATTGCGACAATATACAAATTATATCCAAATATTAGTCATGAACTTGAGTCATTTAAACAAATTCAATTAGGGTTGGACGGACTGGAATTAACTTTCACTCAATAGACTTCCATATCAATTTAAGGTGGCTCGCTGACGAGGGTTTGAAATAAAATCGTCCGATGCTTCATAAATCCAAGAGAATCTGGACTAAATATGGTGTCCCATTTAGTTCTTGGAGTTGCATAACGTTCTAGATTGATTTGATATATGTACAAATCTAATTCAATCCAAATACATAGCAGTGAGCGAACGATTAATGTAAAAGAAACCTAAGACAACTAGAAATTTATGGTCCAAACTCTCAATGCAACTCTACGAAATGTTAGTAAGATCATCGTACTGACCTCTTCTGCTTCTCAATGCTTATTGGCAAGGTGTTTTCGTCCGTCGGACTGTTTATATGGCAATCCTCTGATTTTTTTGAAGGAGACTGACAAGCCATTTGAAGGCTGGAGACTATCTATAGGAAATGATCGTTTCTACATTTGTGACTTACCTCACTCATGAATACCCTTACACTTCAGAATTGACCTACGGGGTACTAATAATCGAAATGCTGAGCTGCTTGCTTTGCAAAAATGTACCCTCTTTGTACTGATTTTCAATCCGTCTCATATCAGACTCGAATGGCAGTTCTGAAAAACTATCTAAACGTTCATGTGTGCGAACATCGTCAGGACGGTGCTGCAAAAATGCACATTATAAAGCAAGTTTTCAGGCCCATAACGCTCTTCGTCTTCCCTAAGAAAGTTCCCTAAATCCGTACTGAAGGATCCGGAAGCACTATTATGTAATTTTGGATGTGCAAGCAAATAAATGGATAACGCTGAACGCTTAAAATAAAGATACAAAAGTTGAGGCAAAGTTTTTGCAGAATTACGTGGCCTAAATATAGAAGAAACGATCAACACTCCGAAGCTTTCCATACGGATACGAAGTCTAGTGTACGGTATTTACGATGAAAGTCGAAGGATGTACTTGCCATGCAACTAGATATTGACTTATTTATACCCCTAATTGCACATGAATTCATGTTCATTAATCTTTTGTATGCTTATTCTATCCATGAATTGGCTAGTTTCTTTGTGACACCATGTGCATGGGATTTTATAGGAAAGTTGAGATAGTAATAATTGGGAGCGTGCCTAAAATGGAATGGCCTTGGCTGTGAATAGATTGAGTATGACGACGAAAGCTGTCGTCAGTTTGTCACGTGTATTCACCTTATGGAAAAGTCATCTTCCCGTCAGGCCGTCTACCAACTGCGATGCACCTGTCGCAACCTAACTTTCCATTGCGATTAACCGTGTATCTAACACCAGATCGAGCAGATGCATCGCACATTACAGCAGACAACTTAAAAGCTACGTATTTATTGAACTTAACGCTAAACAGACCCGCGACGGTCCTCAGAAATTTCCTTACATTTAGCCGGCTTAGTGTTCCCTCTATGGATCCCGATCATGAACATGTCACTAAACCTAAGGGCATCGATCCGTTCTTATACAGGCTAGAAATGTTGACTAGATCTCCTTGTAATGGAAAGTCCATCTATATTAATTTCTAAATCTAAAGCATCGAAATCAAAAGTACACAACCAAAGTTCAACACATTTTGGTTGGTTTTCAATCCGAGATGGTAGTAAACCCCACTGATGATGAACTTCGGTTAGACACTTGTGCACACCCTCAGGACACTTCTGATGCTGCTCGTTAAATCCGGAACAAGATCTCGGAAATCATTCAGTATCCGATCAGCATCTACGATGCTCAGACAGGATTTTGTCATTAAATTTAGCAATATCCTATTGATCTGCTCTTTACGATTTACGAACTTCTGAGAGCACAAATTAACTTCATGACATCCTATGAGAAATATATTAACTTATTCACTTCATACACGTACCATTATCACCCGGAAGCCTTCATTGCTGTAGCTAGTGGATAGTGTTACAGTTGGAAAAATTTTATTACAATTAATTTCTGTGCTGAATGCTATCAATTCAACATAATTCACTGTTAAAGTCAGTTACCTTCGATTGTGCTTTCATTAGCAAACTTACCAAACGAAAGCAAGTTATGTTTTGTCATGAAAGCTGTTCGAATTTTATTCCCCGTTCGTTATAAGTTGATCTATGACAGCAGAAGACGTTTGACAAGTTCACAGTTGCCCAACGTGTACGAGCTCTCTCAGTGACTTTAACCAAACTCTTCTTAGAGAACGAACAAGATAGTTAGTTAAAATGAGCGTGAAAAATAGAGAGCACGCCACTCGCTTGCATCACGTACGCTATTTGTGGTGTCCATCAAGCACATCGAAACACTTTAGCCAAACAAACAACAATGCAAGTATATATGCATCTCAGGAAAATCCCTGTGTCGGTAGTTTACTACTTGTGTTAATTATAACAGCCTTCATTTTTTATTAAACAGTAAGTTATTTTGAAGACGTTCATCAAAATATAGGTAAGGGATGCAGCATATTCAAATATGGTACGCTACGTACATTTGTCTGCAAATTTCCCCCAAATATACGATGAAAGGGGGGATAATTTTACATTTCCCCTTTATTTACGCTTTCTTTCTCTTTATTTCCCCTTTATTGCTTGCTTGGGTAGTAACTGATAATGACTCTCATTTTACTGCGGACGCAGTCACTGCCTGTTTGAATGGTATTTTGTGGAGACGCTTGTTCACTGCTCCCACGCAGAAAATTCCGTCCAGATATTAAAATTTGCTTTCAATTCCCTTGCTTCTCCAGCATTCGATGAACTGAGGAGAGGAGTAGATACGATCCTACCGTACGGGCATTGAATGTCACTGAGCCCTAGCCAAGCCATCTGGCTCTATCAATTAAGGGACGAGTATACTGCTCAACAGTTCGCTCTGTTCTACTTTACAGCTGTGAAGCATGGCCATTAAGGGTAGAAGATACTCGTAAGTTACTAGTCTTCCATCACAGATGTCTTAGAAATATTGCTCTCAACTCCTGGGATCACCGGGTGAGTAATAGTGAGATTAGACTCAGGGTAGTTGGGAATGATGGTAAATCAGTGGATGAGGTCGTGAATTTTCATCGACTGAGATGATTGGGCCACGTGTTACTTATGTCTGAACACCGATTACCAAGACGCGCAGTGCTGACTAGTGTAGGGGATGGTTGGAAGAGAGTTAGGGGCGGCCAAACCAAAACATGGCATCAGTGTTTGAAGTCATTAAATTCTAGTCTGATCCATGTTGGCAGATGCAGACTACCTGGTTGGAGTTCGCGTGACTATCGTAACCAATGGTTGGAGACTCTAGGTGACATGGCTCAGAATCGATCACAATGGCGTAGGTGTATACACTATTTATCTTCCCTTAAACCATGAGATTAAAATTGCTTCATAACTTTCTTCCTTCCTATACTATTTCCTTATACACAACCTATCTTTTATACACTACCACCACTAAATTAACAACTATGAATCCAGTGTTCATCTTAAGTACACAAAATCGTCATGTCAGTCAAATGAAATCCCAGGAACTAAGTGAGTCTGTTCCAATTTGGGCTGTTAATTCTAATACTAATTAGTAAATTCTAGATAATACGGAGCCTGCATCCAATACACTATCAGACAGACACAGGGCGAACTTAAGGAGAAGACTTACAGTCAATTACAGAAACGTAGACTCCAATTTAAGCTGTGGCTGATGTGATGTTTGTATCAACTAATGATTCCTTTGTATTTGATGACTGCCTGATTTTGAATTTCAAATACAATGCGTTCGTTCATACTCACCTAGTTCTTCTTCGTTAAATTGCGTTATTCCCTAGTTTGTATAATGATTCAAATACTCCTAACCATCACAACTCAGTGGTACGAAAAACAATGTATATTGTGATGAAAAACAAACACATTTACTGTACTGTTAAATATTTTATGCTGTGTCTAAACATATCGTAATAATGCAACACAATCTTATATTGCATACCCTGAATGTGAGTTCTTAATTGTATCTTGTTAAAGTTATGGACTTATTAGGATTTGTTGTATTATTTGAAATTCACATACTTAATCCGAAATCATTTGTATCAGATAAAATTGCAAGATTTGAGTATCAATGTGATCTGTCAACTTAAATAGCCATTATATTGATATCTGTTAGAGCTGCAGGTCACAAACGTCCAGACAATCTAAACAGTTATGTTGGTATCACTAAGAGTTTCGTGTCAAATTTTTATGAGTGAATATCAGTGCCACGCAAGCAGAGAACAAAATGGCAAAAGAAAGTCAAGGTTAAACCTAAACAGTCACTTTATATTCAATAACAGTGGTTGTCAAATGCAGTTACAAAAAATGTGAATAATAATAAAAATGTGTTCACAAAATATGTATATGCTTGTAGTGTCGGTTAATATGTTAAGCTCACATAGCTTATTCTAGCTTCTGGACAGGCCAGTTTATTTATCTTTCTTGAGTCACATTTGTTAATTATTTGCCCACTAACTTTGACTGCTTTTATATGAGCGTATGTGTGTGCACTTCTTATACTATTCATCACATGTCTGTAATTCATTTGTGTGTGACTAAAGATATTGATTAATACTTGATTAAATGGAGTTGCCTCACTTGCTTTCTCCAATCTGCTTCTCTCTTCCCTTCTTGGTTCGTCTCTCTGATTGTCTGTTCAAATCACTTGTGGTGGTCGATATTTGGTACTATCCCTAAGCTTCGTATATTGTTCGTCTTGATAACCGTTACTCGAAAACGTCCTAACGATGTATAAATCAGAAGACGAATACGAAGAGTCGATCGCGTTTATTACTGAACCACACACAGTTATCCAATATTACAGGTACGTCAAACAAGCATGAAAAAGCAGTGCCGTAGAGCCGGATGAATGAGTAAGCGTGTACAGTACGGTGTAGCGTAATACAGAGCAGAGCAGAGAGCAAGCAGGGCAAGTGTAGTAAACAGGATTAAGATGTACATATATATATAAGTGGGAAAGCATTTATCATCGGATCAA